GTGCAGGCTTCAGAGTCATCTGTAACACCTCGATTATGACGAGGTTTACACTTGGTCTTTTGACGACGACAGTTGGTACATGCTCTAATAGCGCGATGACCAACACGCCGCTGAGAGAGACCTGTTTCTCCGAGTCTTGCCATTTTTGCGATCTGCAGTTCGCGCAGCTATGAGCTTATATGATGCCCCTCAAGTGGGTACGTATTGACATCAAGAGAGAACGGCAAATGTAATACACACCGCTGTTTCCTTGCATGAGATCGGGTGTATTAATCAGCTTGAATTGAAACTGTCGGAGCCTTACTGGGTCTTACTCCGCAAGGCACAAGATATTTACAACTACACCGACCATCGGGTTTAGACCAGCTTTCGTAGGCAAGATTAATTGCATCCGGAGCGAGCCCAATACAATAGTATCGTACTCACCCTCCCGCCTCCCGCCTCCACCGCCGATCCCGTAAGCGAGAGGTACAAAACAAGGATCTTCCCTTTACGTTATCTAGTATAAATCATGCGAACAGTCAACTTCGTCTTATTCCATCGCTTTGCCATGCTATGACAACCACATTATAAAAGGATCAATCAAATGCTGTACTGCAGACACTGGGAAAACGGAAAAGATTCCACTCAGGGGAATGAAAAAAAAAAAGAAATGGAATAGGATAGCTAATAACTTGAACTCAACTTCTTGAGTGGTATTATATTTTTCGGCTGAGGAAACTTCCTGAAAGGTGGAGGATCACAGCTCTTTTCACTGCTATACATTTGATTTACACCATATAGGCGCAGAACTCCTCCGAGCAGGACCACGAAAGCACCGCCACCGTAAACAGCGGCGTCATAAACGATCCCATCTCCGTCAGATGTCAATTCCGATTTGTCGACGTCACGAGGACATCTTATTTCTCGCTATGATCTTATCTATCATGCAGGATTTACATACCCTTTCCTTCCAAAGAAGAGAAACACAGTTCCTGTGATGTCGTTGGCCATCGACACTTCACAGTTGACTTGGGAGTGTTTGATGGGCTGAAGCCAGTGATGTGCAGAGTAGGAATCATCTTCGTAAGCGAAAAATAGTCTCCACGCAACGATGAAATATCAAGCATTGTCTCGTAGAGGATAGTGTAAGTGGTATTTGATTAATGGAAAAGGAATAATCGAGTAACATCAAGTAACCTAAGTAACGTCACTCAAAAAGATCACTTGTACAACCTTGGGACAACCCTTTTCACTGGGGTGGCAAAGAACGAGGTAGATTAGGACGAGCTCGCTGATGCTATAGTTCTGAATGGCTATGAGGAAAATCCATTCAAATTAGATGAGAGGAAGAGGGGAGATGGAAGATGTCACTGAACCATACGAGACACGGCTGGCAAAATACTGAATAGATCAGGATAAATTTGCCGGAAGGGCGTAAGTTTTACCGAGATGACATGTGATGTATGGGTTATGCGGCGGGATGTTGCAATGCAATTAAATCCTGGCTGAGAACGATGTGATTAGTTCAGCATCATGACTGTTGGAAAGAAGCAAACGACCCATTAACCTGGATCTAAATACCTCCCCTCTCAATACACCTACAATGCCCCTACACTTTTGCCCGTCAACAGCTCTGTCACCCATACCAGATCCATGGAGAGAAAGAAACTCCCCAAGAGTAAGCGAAAATGACATGAGAGTTCCAAGTTTAAACTCCTCAGTCTGCTGTAGGGTGGGTGTATGTGAAAACCACCAATGTGCTGCTGTGGCTAGCGTAACAAAGGGTTTTGGATTCGGTTGAACTCGGAGGAGGTTGCAGCTGATTGCGATGTGACAAAGATCGATAGACCCAAGATTGCGCGGAATCAGGTTGCTGCATGAAATATTTGGGGATCAATACGGAGTTCCCAGGTGACAATAGTCATCATTGGAACGAAGCAATAATCGACATACCTGCTCCTATTCAATTTCAACTCGTATCAGAAATCCAAGCCACATCTGTTCAAGGTTGATAACGGTATAACTCCTCTGAGTTCAACGGAACCCTTGAACCTATCTTGGTGACTCTATGTGGGGATCTTGATGGTATGACCTTCTATACGAGTGAATGGTTCGTGGAATAGTCGGTTGCAACAGGTATAGGCTCGACAATATTAGCTGAGTTTGGATGATCGTATCGAGGAAGACAAGAGGTCTGAGGCAGGAACAGACAGAGGTACACAAGCAGGGAAAATATACGTAAGATTACTCGAATCACTGTCGTCTGTCAGTATTTGGATGGCGATTCCCGCTATCCCTGTAGGGTAATGGGGTTTGTGACGTTGGAATGCACTTGTTTCTTCCCGACTATTCGTCTAGCTCAATTTACCATGTAACCGTTTTGTTTATCCGTCGATATTTTTATCTTGTTCAGTATACCCTACAATACTTTAGGCGTTCCTATGTTCAGGGCATTTGTCTATGCACGGCCCCCAGGTCTCCATCTTACACTTTGTTGTTTTCTTCTGCGTACTGTTTGCTGACCTGAGATCATGCCGCTAGTTTATATCGGATCTGTGAAAGAAGGGTCGTTACCCCACCGTCTCAACACGCTCCATGACGCTCAAGGTTTCAAGGGTTTTGAACGTAGCATTGATATTACCACCGGTCAAGTGATATCCATAAGCTGCTCGCCGCGAAGCAATGAATGGAATGAAACACTTACCGTGACCATTCCGAGTCAACGTGACCACTCAACGCCGCTCATGTGAGAGTCGAATGGTCCGATACGCCAATGGAGAAAATACGAAGTAGGCAAGATGCAGGTGAGGTGTAGCTACGGCCGAGACGGCTTTATTAGTCAAGGACGTAGGTATATATGTAGTCTCCACAATCGTTACATGCGTTGTCAACAATCGCATGTGTGATGGTGTTCGTATAGCACCTTAGTTGGCGGCTGGTAATCGAGTACTCCCTCAATGATGGCACTGTCTCTCGGCATACTAATTCGTTAAAATGAACAATCCGCACAAGTGGGAGTGTAAAATTCAGTCCTGGAGAAATCATTATGACTCAATGCTGATCAATTTTGCAGTGGTCGTAGGCTGCGAAGAAGATTATGTCTGTAGGTAGGTTGCAGTCAGCGATAGAGTGAGAACATACTGACTTGATGGATGAGGAATCGAGATAAGAGAAACATCGACTTCGAGTCCTGGTTACAATCATTTCTTGCATCTCCGACTCGGGGATCATCATTGTGGTATACCGTTTACACCGCATCCACGGCGTGTTAGTGCCGTGAATACATCCAGAAAGCTCACCAAAGCACCCCTGAATTACCATCATATTGAAAAACTTTGGGGTTGTACTAAGGAGCTGTGATTATAATTTATCATGCTCATTGTAGGCGCCATGTATCTGGATAAACTTTATTTGAAAGTCCCACAATGAATAGCGTTGGATACGCACTCACAGGTGCTTACATCGTGAGTATCGTCCGACCTAATTTCTGCAAACCCGTCCAGTTTCCACCATCTATCTCGTAGGAATCAGATACATATCAGGCTTATCTCTGAGAAGAATGTTCCTACTTTCTGTAGCGGGACATGGTAGCTGCCAAATAGAAGAGAAGTTGAGGTAGGGGCAGCGTCACAAAGGGTGAGAGTCGTGATCCGGAAACCACGCATCTATTCTGCGATAATAGAGCATATCTGCAACCTCATTTTTGATAATCACGACGGGAAGCTTGAGCGATTTCTGGCGCGAAAATCGCTCAAAATAGCACGTGCAGTTCGAAATTTTGCGTTTGCAGATATGGTCTAATTCACGACTTCAAAAGTCAGCATGTGACGCCTTGTAAGGTGGCCGCCACAAAGGATGAACGGCGTTATTGCGTTAAGAAACACGCGTAGTTTTGATCTGCAAATAGGTTTTTGATCGGAAAAGTGTTCTCAACAAGGCCTCTATCTCGTCCGTCAAGATCTCTGCTTGTGTAGTGCCCATAGCATTCGCGTCGAAGCAGGGAGGTTTATATCAATGGCTCACCTACTTCAAGAATAGTCCAAGAAGCGCCATATATCGAGGATTGACGAGGTCTAAATTCAACCTCGGAACACGCAAAAGGCGCTGAAAAATTGCAAGAGCTGTCGATCCACCAATGTATATCCTGAGCGTTCAGTAAAGGTGAAAGACCTTTTGTGAGAAGCAATTAGCTCTCCTCTTGATTCGAAGGAAGATATGGGTCCCACATGGCCTGAACTGGATGATGGAACATTCGACATCACGGTCAGAAGGAATCCGTCAAACGTGTTACAGTTCACGTGGGGTTGATTCGGTCAAGAAAGTTATTCTCCTTTGCCCACAACAGCGAACGTACATCGCGAAGATCATTCTATACCATCCTGCCCTCGATCAAACTTGGCTGAAAGTGAGCCCGAGACTCGACTGAAAGGTATAAAACGAGGATGCCAGCTAAAACTAGCGCTGCTTTTTATCCGAGAGAATTAATTCAACAAAACACGTCGATCAATTGAATTGATTGAGATAGAGCGGTCGAAGAAGCAGCATGTGTGTGCGTGATAGGAACAGACCGAATATGCGGCTTAAAGCATTGACGTGAGGATGAAGAAATGCAACTCCAACAGCCGCGGCGAGATGGATTAGCGCTGAAAATTGTCCTTATGTATGTAGCCTCACAGTTAGCAAAAACGACACATTACAAAGTGGGCATCGGACACACCGGGAATGGAACCAGGCACCCCGACGCACGCATCTAGGTAGTGGGATAAACAACTTCACCATATGTCCATGGTGGCTGGTAGCGAACGAGGTGACATGGATATAAGCGACCTAATGGGGAGGAAATAAAATACCACTATAGGGCGAACGGAGGGCTTATAATCATCGTATTATCATCTACAGAAACAACTTCTCCGATACCAATTGCTTATCATCGCTCGCCGCACACCGTAATAGCATAAACCAGGCCGATATTCCCAACTCGTTAGTTCAAACAAAAAGTGCACGATATCGAAATGATATGGACACACTGGGAATTGAACCCAGCACCCCCCGCAGGCACCATCAGCATACTTTATGCTAAGCGGATGTGATAACCAACTACACCATGTGCCCGTGTTCAAGGTTAGCTTTGCTATGCTTATCAGTATTGTTTTTCGGATGAGAAGACCAACCACGCTGACCAGGGAAAACGTGAACCGAGCCAAAAAAATTATTTCCCAAATACAGCAATGATTCGAACCAGACTCGAACTGGGGACCTTCTGTGTGAGTACTGTGCTGAACAAGTTGTATGTTAGACAGATGCGACAACCAACCACGCCATCGAACCGTTGCAAAGGATGGTAACTATGAATAATTAGCATCCTCGTAATCCAGGGGGGTATCTGGAGACCGACGGGAGGGGAAAGTGGGTCGTGGAAGCCGGAATTGTACAAGGAGTATCACACCCGATACGGGGAGAAAGGGTGGGAGATATTCGAGGTGTGCGTGGTTGAGTGAGTGGTTCCGTTCTATCGACGAGTCAATACTACGAAGTATGGGTAGGGAGACGGAGACGGATGACGCACCCAAAATGCCGCACACGACAATCCGCTCAATACCCCGGACAAAGACCCCCATCCTACTGCTTGTGAAGTGGAGCGTAAGCTTCCGTGAGAAGACCGTTTGGTGGGAATCGGAAGTCGTGGGCGCAGCTGGAGGGAAAGTGACTGAAATCATCATCCTGGTGCTCATAAAAGGTGCAGTATCATTTAAACCGACGATGGAGGGGGTGGCGCGAGCGACCATGGGTGTGCAAGAAGTGTCCTAGTGGTCGGCGAAATGAGGAGACCGTGGGCGCAGCTTCAAGGAAAGCTGCCGAAAGCAAGCGAAAAGTCGGTTAAGGACCCCCAGCTGTTGTTCGGTAAGGTGTAGTACTGTTCAGCCCGAGGCTGGTGGAAGTGTGAACGACTATGGCCAGGTGGAAGGTGTCGTAGAGATCGAAGAAATGAGGAGGCGGCGGTGTGCTATCGAGAGCAAGGAAAACGGCGTTTAAGGACCCTAGTCTGGTGTTCGTAGTGACGAAGGAGGTGCAACGTTATCCAAACTCGCCGGTGAAGGGAGCGTGAGCTTCCATGGGGCGAAACGTGTCGAAGATGTTGGAGTGATGAAGAGGCGGCGATTATGGCGGAGGTAGCGTGGAATCGATCGGAAGGGTCCATAGCAGGCGGAGAAGCTGTAGTGGTTCGGTTCTGCAGAGAAGGGAGTCATGACTTTCAGCACTTGAAGGACCGCAAATAGCAACGGTTGACGCACCCAAATTCCCAGAAACACAGGCCAGCTAACCCTTCCTTCGTAGCGTGTCGCATTCTCCACAATGCAACATGTCAAAGCTTCAGCAGAGGTAGACGCACTCGTGTCTTGAGGATAGAGACGGTAAAGGTATGCAGGCTTGGAATGGTTGGAAGACGTACATGACAACGGAACTGAGGCTAGAAAACCGGATGTAGTCGCGAGAAGGATTGTCGTCTGTAGAGATCCACCAAGACAGACTCTCAGACTGTGCTGTCACTATGTTTCATGATTTAGCTTCATATTTCACTTGAGTAGAGTTTAGAGCACTCACTGTGGATAAACGACGACGACTGAGCTCGTCAACGATGGACGCGAAACGACGTGGACGGTTGTGACTTGTCACGTCACTTGTCACTCCCTCCGCGTGAGACTCGGAGAAATGTGCCGTATATCCGAGTTTGATATCGATTTCGTCCAAGTGCCAAAGTATTCACCTGCGTTAATAACATGTTACTAAAGTTACTATACAGTGTTTATAACAAAGTTGGGTGAGTCGCCGTTACTAACATCCGTCAACCGAATCTTACAATTAAGTTGTGTCATTGTGCTGATGACACGACTCCGAGCCAATATTAACTCGAATAGCCGCTATTATCCGTCAGAGTATATCAAGTCGAACGAATCAGTTTTTACGACCAACTTTTCATCTTCACTCTTCAATAATGCAGTCGAACAACAACGCAAACGTTCTCATCGTACGCATCTTGTTGTCCATTTTATTCATCAACGTCATACTGATCACTTCTTCAGGTCGGCGCCGGACCTTCAGGTATCCCATCATTTCCATTACCTAGGGTCCATTCCACTAACACAAAACACCCAGGTCTCGTTCTAGCTTTGTCACTTCTACAAAACGGTCTATCCGTTCGAATCATAGACAAATCACCCAATCATATGATCGGTCAACGAGGCGCTGGTATTACGGTAGGTCCACCAAACGACTCGAGGCTTTATTTCTGACAGGCTCTATGTATCTCAGCCTCGTACCCTAGAACATTACAAACTCCTGGGTATTCTTCCCGAAATCGAGAAAGCGCAATCCTCTATACCAAAGTTACGAGTCTACCCCTCACCCGAAGTCGATGGCGGCGAAGAACCTCCGGAACGAGATATGCTAGAGGTCTTTGAACCAAGGCCCGAATTCTACCGGGTAATATACCTAATCTATTATTGCCTTTTCCAGACATTAACCTAGTATCAGATCAACGGCGCAATGCTCGGCCAAGAAGACCACCTCACCGTCCTCCGCGACATCCTCTCCAAAAAATACAACTGCACCGTCGAACTATCCACCGAACTCGTTTCCTTCTCACAACATCCCGATCACGACTACGTCACTGTCCGCACCCGAGATGTCAAAACCGGCATTGAGCAAGATGCGCAGTTCGACTGGTTAGTTGGTACAGACGGCGCACACAGTATAGTCCGAAAGAGTCTCGGGTTAACTTTCCTCGGTGAGACTGTCGAAACAAACACGCTGGTTATTGGGGATATTGAGGTTTTAGACGGACCTGAGTTGAGGGTATGTATATTCCTTTCCTTCTTTCTCATTGGGGTGGACCTCACGCGTTATTAGAATTGGACAGTCTGGGGTAACTACGGTGATAAGATGTACGATTACTTTTCTTTTCATCGACTCCTTTTGATTAACGGCTCGGATAGGCTTACCCTACGCCACTACCACCGCGAAGGAAAAAACTATCACTGGTTAATCCTCGGTGGCAAAAACATAGATATCCACAAAGCCGCAGCTGACAGGGAAGAGTTAGTCAAATACATCCACGAAACTATCGGAAAGAAGAAATACGAATACGGCGAGTTAAGGACAGCCGCTGCATGGAAGTAAGTCCAAGTTCTTGATTTTTACGCCCCTTACGCTTACGGCTGGGCTAAACTAAAGAGCAAACATCCGAATGGTCAACAAATTCGGTGCAGGCCGAGTCTTCATCGCAGGAGGTGTGTATCCGAGTCCGTATTCCGACGAATGGCTGGCTGATCAGTCTATCACAGACGCAGCACACGTACACAGCCCAACAGGAGGTCAAGGGATGAACTCTGGCGTCCAAGATTCCGTGCGTACCTTCTCATTGTTCAACCCCTCATTACTCACTCGTTCCCAGATAAACCTCGCCTGGAAACTCTCTCTCGCCCACAAACACAAAGCACCCCTTTCCCTACTCGAATCCTACACAACCGAACGTCTACCAGTCATCGCATCCATGCTGAACAAAACCACCGAGCTCATGTACAAGACATTCACACTATCTGATACGGCGGATGCCTGGGTACGTGGATGGGATTTACGTCAATTTGGTGTCAATTATCGTGCAAGTCCGATTACCCTGGACGAACGATACGTCGGCGAGTCTGAAGTTGATCCTTATCGTTCTGGACAAGATGGGAGCGCACGTGCGGGAGATAGAGCGCCCGATGCACCTGGTTTGATTGTCACCTCGGACAGGGAGAAGAAGAGGCTATTCGACTTGTTCAGTCCGGTTCGTCATACGATACTGGTCTTCTCTTCCGACTCCGGCGCCAAAGACATCTTGGACTCCCTAGACTCTGATTACCTCAAAGACATAACCACCACAACACTCATACTTCCCCAGGGCACCGCTCCCACTCCCAACGCCGTCGTGGATGGAGAAGGCTTCGCGTACAAACATTACAACGTGAACCCTGGTGAGACGTGGATTGTGGTTGTTAGACCTGATAGCGTGAGTGATTATCGATTCGGTTTTTGATGTGACTGACGTGATATTGATTCATAGTATATCGGCGCTGTGGTGAAAGATGGTGAAGGGGTAAGAAAATACTTTGACCGAATTCTTGGGTAAAGCGGTAAGGGATCTGGTTTCGATAGCAAAGCATGGAAGGATACTTAGAATTTGTTACTTGATACGTGGTTATGTTATGTACATGGTATAATAAGTCGTATGCTTGAGTGATATACTAGCGTCAACTTTGTGGACATTGTCGCTCAGTTCCCAATCTATAAACCACCCGACGGAACAACCCTTGGCGAATGGGCAAAGCGTGAATCCATGCCAAAAAAACCATGAGCGTGAAAAAGCACGATGATTCGACCCAGGCTCGAACTGGGGACCTTCTGTGTAATTACGAGTTTATACTGCCATGTTAGACAGATGCGATAACCAACTACGCCATCGAACCACAGGACTTGAAAGTTGGAACGAGATCCAGATCGCATTTTCTGCCCTTGATTCTCGTTTCAGAGGAGCCCAATTCTTTCCAAACAACGCCACCGTAGACACCAAAGTGACATGAAAATGTAGCTTTCGGTGATCGATGTGAATATATCGACTCAACTAACTTGGTCTTTGGCGTTGAGTTGATTAACATGCTATTAATGCAGGTGAATAAATGTGGCACTTGGACGAAATCAATTCAAATATCAAGTTCTAAGTACTGAGATAGTGTTCATCCGTGATTCGCTATAGATTTGATGTCGAAACCGGATGGCTGTATGCAAGGATTCGGTCAAAGTACTTCCTTACGCCCAAACCATCTTTCGCCACAGCGCCGATATACTATTGAGCATGGTCAGTAACATCAAAAGAGTGAGAGCTTATAACCACTTACACAATCAGGTCTGATACCCACAGCCAATGTCTCACCGGCTTTCACGTTGTAGTGTTTATACGCAAAGCAATCTCCATCCACGAATGTGTAATCGGCGCTGGCAGTCTGACGGAACCGTTCCCTGAGGGTGTATGACCGCTGTGGTAACCATGCCTTCAAGGCAATCCAAGGAGTCCAAATCGTTCTTGGCGCTAGCTGCACCAGAAAAAACCAGTATTGTATGACGAACCGGACTTAACAAGTCAAATAGCCTCTTCTTCTCCCCGTCTGAGACCAATCCGGGTGCATCGGACGCTCTATCACCACCATGGGCGCTCCCATCTTGCCCGGAACGATAAGGATCAACAGACTCGCTGATGTCTGTGTATCGCTCGTCCACAGTAATCGGACTTCCACGATAGTTGACACCGAATTGACGTAGCTCCCATCCTCGCACCCAGGCCTCATTATTAGTCGTACCAGACACTGCGAATGTCTTGCGCATGAGGTCAGTGGTCCTATTCAGCATTGATGCAATGACTGGTAGACGTTCGGTGGTGTAGGAATCAAGCAGGGAAAGGGGTGCTTTTCCGTTGTGAACCAAAGCAAGTTTCCAGCGCAGGTTTACCTAAAAATGCATCAGTGGGCAACAACGTTCTGGAAGTAATCAGAATTCTACTTCGTATAGAATTCTGATTGATTCATTCTTTTAATAAACATCTTTTGTTCCTGATGGCGTTGCGAAGGCTTCAGCAATCGAAAGTAGCAAGACGACCAGACTTACTCATATATTTTACTGGGAGAAACCCATTTGATTATACCGAGAATCTCGAAGCTCAGCAAAGAAGTTAGAATGTAGAAGAAAAAAACAACGACACGGTATCTAATAGCCATCGTATTGACTCCAGCGCATGCAGAGCGCAAGCTAATCTCCCAGCAACATACTAATAACGGGAGGCGATGAAACCATCGCCAAGATGCCGTTTATATTATTCATCAGGCGGCTGGGTCATGAGAAGAAAGGCAAAACAACATATATGCCCGCGATCTCCAACTCGCCATGTACGTCTCTTGATACCGGCCAAAAGCCGAAGCCGAAGTGTTGCCGTTGCCATCCATACTGTATCCGTCACAGCGAAGGCACGTTCTTTCACAGTAGGATCTCTGCCTTTTGATCATTTCCTGTAACTATGTCGGTAAGATACAGCTCGCAGGACTATAAAACTAACTTTCCAGAGACCGTGCACACTCACCCTTTCGTCCCACATTATTCCGCTTCAAGAACGACAATGATTCTGTCCATGCTGCTTTTTATGTGAGTCCCAACCTTTGCTACACTGGTGCTTCCAATTCTGATCACACTGATACTTAGGTGGGCTAACATTGTCAATGCACTTGAGCTTATAGATGTTAGTCCCAAAGTGATATCCTCCAAAAATCCAGAGCTCTTCGTACGATGTCATCACGAGGTTGACGATGCATATTTCGGACCCTTTCGGATACAATTACAAGCAATCAAAAACCAAAGGGATTCTGTTGTTGGAGAACAAACTATTGATCAAGATGCGAATTGCTCTTCGCCCATTCACATCACCTTTGACAGCCTAATATCAGCTGGGTGTGCTATCTTCAGACAGGATTGAGAATCGTTACTCAAACCACATAGATCCTTTGACGTCGAGGTGAGAGCACTGGATGTTAAGTAGGTTACCAAGTGGTGTTACAACCAGCCACTAATTTACACTATTAGTGGTGACATGAAAGATCACTTCAAGCCGCTGCTGCTTGCTACTAGTAGTCCTACCACTACGTCAAGGTATGTTTATTGCTCTCTGCCGCTTTGCAGAGTCTCAAATGTGGTTGATGATTAGTGCAGGGGATGTACCTCAGACACTGACGACTATCTTCATTTCACCCACTGACATTTCCACAACGAAATATTCCGCATCTCCACCAAACAAAACAGCTCTCATTGCTGGGACAGTCGCAGGAACTACGGCACTCCTGGTACTCATAGCGTTATGGCTGTGCTGGCGGTGGCATAAGCTTCGTGGGAGGCGTAACATCGATATTACTCCGTACCAAGCTACACCATCTTCGAAAATCCTACAAAGGCAAAAAGGATATTTGTTAACGATGCCAAATGATCGTAACGATGATCGTTACAGATGGAGGCTTCGAGTTGCGTCAGATACGGGTAGTGGCCAATCGCCATCATTACGCCCAAACCATGATGTTCATGACTCTGGTGTTATTGACCGTGACCTGCCGCCCAGTTATTATACTTCCCCGCGATGATTGTGCATACTCCCATGAATATTTTCCAAACGCCGTGTCATTTATGATTGTTCTTCTTGTATTATTTTACGTACGATAATTAATGCATGGGAGATTCAACTTTTAATAATAGAGCCATGGAGTTCTAAGCTTCAGGCTGTGACATGAGAATTCTCGGCAGGTGCCGATACAGGCTTCCTGCCACCCCGGCTCGGCAAGGCCATACCGCTGAAGGCTTTCGCGCCGTGCTACCACTGTGAGCCTCGACTTTGGGTGTCATAATGCGTCTTCGTAGGTAGGAGGTAGTCGGCGAGGGGTTATATTTGGTCTCCATCCACTGTCCTGTTCATGCTCTTCATCCAGTTGCTCGAGCACTTCGTCAGCTGAAAATGCTGATTTCAACTCAACAGCCACATTGAATGAGTAACTTGAACAACAGCCTACCTCGGCGAGTAGGTGCCGGTAAAACCCCCGGCTCCTGGTAGGGGAGCTGAGTTGCAGTGCACGGGTTTGTAGAATCCACTGCCGGTGCATTGCTTGTCCCTGCGCGCTCATTGCTATTTGGTCGTCTATCCTTAAGTTGCCAATGTTTTGGCGCGTTACCACTAGTGACAACCTGCTTGTCTGTTACTTGAAGTGTAAATGGCTCGCTTGCAGGTGGCACAACATCCTTCCGCCAAAATCCGCAACGACGAGCACAAAAAGCCCCACCCAACACTGTAATAACAGTTAAAAGAATAGAACCGACAACAATTCCTGCAACAACTCCCACGGAGACCTTTGATGTTTGGATATTCCCTAGTTGAAATGTGCCATTGGATGTTTCGGGCATGTTGATGCCCGCTAGTAGGGTGTAGGTCATGGACAAGCGTTCATCGACGTTGAGCGGCCCTGTTTCTGTGGTGTTCCAGTTCCCGTAGTGTGTGTTTGTAGATGTCATATTGTCGAGCATTTCATTATACTGGTTGTAGATGCTCTCTTCAGATGACACCGCTATTAATATTTGTATCTTACCTGATTGGAAATGAAGCCTTGCATATACGATTGGATATCTTGAAAAGCCGCGAGATGCTGATATGACGAAGATAAACTATGGATGTATTCCCCAACTACGCGGTATGCTGTAATATGGTTAGATATCTGTTTTTCAACTTAACCAGCTGTGCGTACCCATATAGTTTGAGCTAGATGCATTACAACCAGGTATAGTTCGGTGATCTATCATTCCTTGCTCAGGGGGATTCATGCCCTCGATTGACCACGAAGTTCGTTCTTTTAACCTGCACATGTAATCAGCATTTCGTTGTACCTCTTTTGGGGGTAACGATGCTTACAGCGTTGCATCGAACACGTTGGAGACAGTTCCAAACCTTGCAAGACTCTCTATGAATAGCGCTCCGGCACCAGACGTCCAAGAATTATCCCGAGCGGAGCAATCGCTGTTCCTCCACCTTATATTGAGGCCCTGATCCAAATTGGCTAATACCTTCGAGGTTAAGCCCACACGATTACGGAACGCTGCATCATCAGTTTGGATATAGGACAGCGTCGAATACCTAAAATGCACGTGAGGACCACCTGAACGACGTGTACAAGCGGGGATGTTACATACTTTAGCCATAATCTACGAGGCTCGATGTCTTCAACGAGCATTGATTCCATATTCCGCGGCATCACTCACGCATTAGTATAAAAGCTAACGGATGGCGAATCGGGATGGATAAGCCTCCCTGACTGCTCCACTCATTATATCATATCATATGGCAGTTAAGACGAGAGGAGGAACTCACGTCATCACAATCATCCATAAGAACGGCCTGTAGCGACTCATTCAAGAACACTATCGTTCATCTAAGTCAGTAGAAACGAAAGTAAATCATCTTGATAGTGACCTGATGCACATGCAGAGCTGAGACCGAGTGGTATGGGCGGTAGTGGGTCTCTCTCATGAAGAGACAAGGCGTCTAAAGTCCTGGTCAAGTCCGACAAAACGTCTGGACGCCACTCCGGGGCATCTCCATATGCAAGATTTGCATGGAGAGCTGCATTTCCATACAGACTATTCGTGTCAGAGTCAGAGTGTTGTACTTTGTATGTTACTAAGTACATACAGCATGTAGTTTGCCTGCAAGTGTCGATATCAATATAACACGGATCCTCGTGGTGCGGTACAGGTGACTCACGTTGAAGCTTTCGCTGAACCGCATTTCTTAATCTAACCGATATTCGAATTGCAGTTTACTCACTTGGTCGGCATAACATTATTCGAGCCAACTGCACCGCGAAGCTCAAAGTATCTGCTGACTTGGTCCTTG